CCCAGCCAATAAATCCAATTTAGAAAAGTAGTGAGCATCGTGTAATTCATCGAATAACTCATTGATGGAAGGAATAGGAAAGCGATCGCGTATGGTGATAACATTAAGCGCCCGATAATCGACACAAAAACGCCATGTGACGTCTTTTTTGCTGACCAACAAAACCGGTGAAGAAAAAGGGCTTGTGCTTGGCCGAATGAGACCTTGTTGCAGCATTTCCTGGACTAAGCGTTCGATTTCCTGCTTTTGGAAGTGCGGGTAGCGATAAGGTCGGATCGAAACGGGTTTACTATTAGGCACAAGCTCAATATGGTGATCCTGAGAGCGACTAGGAGGTAGCCCTCGAGGAGCAGTGAAAACATCAGCAAAACGATCGAGTAAAGCTTGTAAGTCTGGTGTGTATGGAGGCTGGTGCTGTTCTGGTGGTAGTAGAGATAAGTGAGATAATTGAGCAATACCTTCTGAGTGCAACAATTGTCGAAATCCGTGAAACTGAATCGGTTGAGCTACCGGATTAAGATCACCTTGCCATTTGATTGATTTGCCATTGCATGAAAATTCAAATGTGGAAGAAGAATAATCTGTAATCACCGGACCCAGAGTTGCAAGCCACGAGACACCCAAGACCACATCCCAACCTTGTAACGGAATCACATAAAAATCGACCACAATTGTCTCACCCTGAATAAGTAATTCAACGTGTTTGGCGATGCCCGTACACGGTAGGCGTTCGCCACTGCCGACAAGTACAGAAAATGGGTCAATCGCTTCGATGGTAAGATTGAGGAACTGAGCAATGCGGGTCTGAACAACACAATGAGTACTTCCTTCGTCTAAGAGTACCTGGACTAAGGTGCCATGAACAGAGCCTGTGAAACGTAGAGTTGTAGCTGAACACCCACCAGATAAGGCGTTATACGATATCGCAGAGATGGATTTATCGTCAACAAGTTGTAATTTGTCGGCTAAGGAAGCATCAGTACTCGCTGACGATGGCGAATCGGGGAAACCACGCGGATCTGGAAGATCTTCATCAAAGAACAAGAGTTGTGGGGTGGACTTACACTTATGATCCAAGGTGTATTTCTCGTCACACTGATAACACAGTCCTTGGGATTTTTTTTGAGCAAGTTCGGTGGGAGAAAGGCGACGGAAAGCCACCTTCGTATTAGCCGTCGGTGTGAAAGAAGGTTTAGCTGTGAACGGTGGCACTGGTGTAGGTGACTTAGGTGTGGGAAGTAAGGGTTTAGAGGAGCCCAACGTAACTCGGCCCAATCCTTTCTCAAATTGAACTCTCTGCTCATGTAATTGGGCCTTATCCATCGCATCCTCCAGTGTAGTGGGCTGATGTATAATGACTGACTGTTTAATGTCGGCACGGAGCCCGGAGATAAAGCAATTGATCAGAAACCGCACCGGCAATGGATTGTGCGATTGGAGATGGCTTCAAATCGAGCATGGTAATCGGCGACGGTCGATGTTTGTTGGAGTTTGGCCAACAGCCCTTCCGGTTCTTCTAATTCTTTGGATTTGAATCGTTTGCTGAGAGCATCAGTAAACGAGGACAATGAATCGATTTGATGATTGCGTTGGAGCCAATCAAACCAGTCGGTAGCAGACTCATCCAAATAGAATGAAGAAATTGTCAATCGATCTTTCTCAGGAATGGAGTAAAACTCAAAATACCGAGAAGCTTGGGCAATCCACCTCTCCGGATTGTCGCCATTGAAACGAGCCAGATAAACCGGCGCCGGCTTATGGCGTCCCAGAATACTGGAGCCTGTGTTAGAAGACTCACATGTACGTTTAGTCTCCATGGATTTTGGCGAATCAGTGCGTTTGATGAGCTCATTAATGGAGTGATGAAGAGCAGCAATGGCGTTTCTCATCTCTGATTGCTCAGCCTGAACGCTTTTAACAGATTCTTCAAGGACTCGAGCTCGTGTACCCTTTGCCATCTGTGCAGGGGAGAATGAAAGCACCAATTTGTTATGAATCTAATTAACAGTAATGGAGTCAAATAAATTTTATTGAATGATTGAGAGAATTTGATGATGGGAAGAACAGAACTGTAAGAATTAAGATGGGAAATTGATCATAGATCTAACAATATGCCTGCCTCTCCAGCTCACACAATACATTATGTAAATAGATACGAATAACAAAATCCGTTAGGGTATTGCTGATGTGGCTCCCATGATGTGGTCCTCATACTTTTTGGGTATCTTTCTGTTTCTTTCACTCCTAATTTGCTCTGGTTGCACAATGGCCCCCGTGCTGTTGCCTTGGGCTATTTGAACATCTTGAGTCATGACATCGTTCCTATATCTCCATAAGTATCTACTCTAACTTTTATATACTCCAACAATATATTTTATATATTTTTGTGTTATGTTATTGTATTTTATATGGTGGTTTCAAATTGGTAATGTTTAATTCAAGGACCCTACTGCTCCACTTCCTGACTAAGTGGTTGCAGCTTCAATCTATCAAATCCTCACGTTATGTAATGTTACTGGTTTTCACCAAGTGGTTGAAAGTTTTTTTTTTTTTTTTTTTTTTTTTTTTCTAAACGAAGGTGTTGTTACGTTGCTTTTAACAATTACCCTCTCACAACATGACTAAATGTATATTTTACTTGATATTTAAATTTTATTTATTTAAAGTCATTTAATTATAACGCAATAAATGATATTCAAATGTGTGCCACACCTTTATGATAATGTATCTTATATTAGTTTAATTTTACAAAGTTTATTAAGTTTTCGAATGATTTATTAGTAGTGAGTTAAAAAGCTAATAAGAATATACAACAAAAAAAAATAATCCAAAACCATAATTATAAAAATGAAGTCTTTAATTAATAATTCGTAACACGAAATTTGGTAGTATTATTTAGGATGTGTTAATCATGATGTTATTTTTTAATTAGTTAACCAAATGCATAAACTTTGAGAAACATAACAATATAATATCGTAACGAATAAAAAACATAAATTATAAAAATATTCATAATTGTAAATTGTTTTACAATATTTTTTCGTGTTATACTAATATCAACTACAACCCTGAAAATCTAATATCTTTCCCTTTTCATTTAGTTAAGAAAAAATAACATAAATGCTCTTGTGGTATACTAATGGCCACAAATTCAGTATTTGATAATTTTATGGAGCAACGGAGCCGTATAATTAAATGGTTACATGTGTCGTGTCCGGGTTGAACTTTCTGACCCGCCAATACGCTACCCGTCAAACTAAACATGACATGAATGCCACCCTTATTTGAAAGTATATTCTTTGATATCGGTCAAAGAGAAACTAATTGACTATCACAATACCAGGCACACATAAAACTCATTTCCTATTTATTGTGAGTGTTACAACTATTCTTTGTCGTTAAGCCGATCGATAACAATATGTATTTATTTTGTGTTCCTTGAAATATAATATATTTTCGAATATAACTAAATATCGAATGAAATTATTTGACAACGCCGCTTTGCGCGAGTAAACGACTACTATATATATATATATATATATATATATATATATATATATATATATATATATATATATATATATATATATATATATATATATATATATATGTGTGTGTGTGTGTGTGTGTGTATGTGTGTGTTATGTGTATTCTACTTACCTCTAGCAATATGTTGTTAAAAATACCATTGTTGTATTGTGCAATGGAAATATTAATAAACATTGTTATTGGTAGTTTCTACACAATTCTTGATAAATGAGTTGATGGACACTAAAAAATTAAAGGTCGTTATATCGTAACAAATTCCTGCTGAACACAACATTAGCTAGTTTTTCCGACTTATGTTGTCTAGCTAGCCATGCACCAACATTCAACAAGAACATGCCTTCTTTAAAATCAGACATCCTTTAAGTCATGTGTTTCTCCTAAAGGAGAAATTTCCATTTTTTTTTAATTAATTTTTTGACTTTAACTAATCAATAAGTGGGAGAAGAATGTGTCTCCCAATTCTTTTTTTACTTTTTTTATTTTTTATTATTATTTTATTTTTGTGGAGTGCATTTCTTAATTATGTCAGTGTTATTTTGGAAAAACCCAAAACCGAAAAGAAACCTCCAAAATCAATGTTATAAGAACAAGTCATTAGAAGATGTGTTATCTTGTGAACAAGTATGTAGAAGATGTTATGGTGTTTGAAGGTCAATAACAATGGATCTGCTTGTGCTTTAAGTTCAACAACAATAACTCAAGAATAATGCGTACGAGGTGGTGCAGCAGTAAGGAGGTTCAGGTGGCGACAATGGTGTTAGATGGTAGCAAAACTTTTAGAGAGAAGTGGTGTTTGTAGTTATGTTGTTAGAGAGAACATAAATAGAGTTTTAAGGGTGGTGGTGACTGCTGTACCTTGTCTACGAATAGATAGCAAATCCATTGGAATGTAATAAAAGATGGATGACTTGGATTATATAGAAAGAGAGCATACAAAATTGAGAGCATAATACATAGGGATGATTCCATTGGGGCCAATGGAGCTTTAGCGGCAACATGTTTTGTGGTATCAGCAGCCACATGACAAATATTAATTGCAATCTTTTTTTCGGCAGCTAATGCATTGTGGACTTCGCAAATAATAGATGTGGTCCCCATTGGTGTCTCCACTGCTGGCTAGGTATCTTGTAGTGATATGTTTTTATAGTCTTAAAACGAATGCATTCAAATTTTGTTAAAAAGAAAGTTAATAAAAATCATTACATTTAATCTAAACACCTAAATCACATATTTATGATCTGCATTGCTTTTATACACCTATTTCGATGATGATCTTCAAACGAGGGTAAATTTCTCTATATTCAATCATTTAACAGATCCTCATCAACAAACTCTAAATTGATTCACATAAGAAAATAAAACCTGACTTAAACTAGAAACATACAGTAGCTCTGCTGTACACGATCAAGCTACTGGTTGATTCAATGATCTTACGACCATTATCCTAAATCTTAAGAGCATCGAGATCCATAAATGTTGCATTCATCAGAATGATTTCCTTCATCGAAATTCAGTGAGTAACTAACAGCATCATACCGGAATATCATAGGCTTTGAAGATCCGTATATGCTTCTTTTGCTTCCTTCAACCACCTTCTTCATGAACTTCCTCCACTTCCGGCTCTGGTGTACACTACCTCTGTTGGTAGGGGTGTACTCATCGTGATCGGAGGCTGAAGAAGATGAAGTGCAGTCGGAGACGTTGGACAATCGTCCTTCAGTGGCGGTGGAGAAGGCGAGTTGAATTGTGGTAGCCATTTTTTCCAGAGATGAGTTATTGTTTGTTGTGACTTGTGACTTGTTATGATGAATTGAAGTTTGAACCGATGCACATCACATTTTATAGTTCGGAGGAGGGAGATTTTGGTAATTTCAGAGTAGATAGGAATAGGAGGATGTGTACCTTTAAACATTTGGTGTAAAGGGTCGATATCGTCAGTTTACAATCTTTACAAATGGGTTATGTGGCTCACAGTATTTTGACTAAATTACCAATAAAGTTTCTTTTATAAGTTAGGTGAGCTTGGAGGTATTATTATAATTTCTAATGTAAATACTCTATGGAAAAGAAATTTAGAAATGGATAATTTTATAATTAAATTGGATGAACTTTAAATTGTTCAAAATGTCACATTTGTGACATACATGAGTATTCAAATTTAATTATGATGATTTTAAATGATGTAAAATAATAATCATAATCTTTTTTGTTCAAAAACTCCAGACTGATAATTAATATTTCAAAATCCAGTGTTGTTTTAGTAAAATATATGTTTTATCATTAACATAATAGATTGGTCTGTTTTAATTATTTAACATAACAAAAACTTGACCATTTAGTGTTACATCTTACAAAATATGTTTTATCTAACGAAAGTTTAACAATTGCATAATATTTTATCCTTTTGTATGCACGTCATTGTCTTATCCTCCTATTTTAACTTTTATAGAAAGGATGCAAGTGCGTCCATTTGACTTGGCCTTTTATTATGAAGGTCCATTCGAAGCGACAAAAATTAAAACATTACATTTTATATTAAACACAAATTATATCGTCATATAATGTAGGACGAACATATTTTAGTGAAGTCCGAATCATAATGAAGATACAATATGAAGAACAAGTATTGTTTGTGATACCGAAATTTGGAGAAGAGTTATTGATTCTTCGATATGTGTCTAACATCAATTATCTTATATACTCCTAACGGTTTGTATATATTAGTGTGAGAATGTCGTTGAGCTTTCACATGTCATAACCTATGTCTTTTTATGATTGGTTCAGTTACGCACCCTTATTTTATGTATATACTAGTAAAAAGGTAAAGGTCGTGCTCAGCACGACCTACATACGATTTTTTTTAAGATGTTGTAAAAGATGGGTAAACGGTTATTACTTGATGATTCTTTAGGAAGTTGAAAAAAAATGACTAAACGGTTATCACTAGTGTTTAGCATATAAGTAAGAGACATGTACATATATCCACTTAACACGCCATTTTAAAATATACAATAATAATGTTATTTTATAAAGTGAAATATCTTGATACAAACTTTCTTGAAAGCACAAGAGTTTTGGAGAATGGCTCCTCGAATAATAAGGTCATAGTAATATGACATACTATTGGTGTCAAAGAATCTTGCCATGATATCACGTTTGGCTCATGGACGTTTTTTTAAATGTGACTTGAACATTTGCAGTATTCTCATGGAGAATTTTGGTTCAATGAAGTACTTGGAACTAAATAGAGAATTTGGAGTTTAATGGAGCATCTGAGAAGGGAAGGAATTGAACATCTGATAAAAGCAGATCATCTGAGAAAGGAACAGAGCACATGAGAAAGAAATGGAGCATCTTGTGATGCTCCATGATGCGCCACTTAGAGAGTGAATGCGCCATTTGGGAAGCAGGTGTCCCATCTATAGTTAAGGTGCGCCACATTGGATGTTAGATGAGCTACTTTGAAGAGGATGCACCACTATGAAAGAATGATGTGCCATCCCTTACTAAAGATGTGCCATCCGTAAGCTTAATGCGTCATCTTGATGTAAGCGTGCGCCACATGTATCCCTGATGAGCCATGATATCTGTTAGGACATAAATTTATGGTTTATACTTTGCTTTTCAATGTTTTTATAGTTTTCGGTTTAGGACCGAAATCTCCATGATCTCGGATGTGTTTGGACCGAAATCACCATGTGATTTCGGTGGGCTTAAGTGATTTCGGTTTTGGGTATTGGGCTTGGCCTTTGTAATAGGTCTTGGTATATATAGTGTTATTTCAGCCATGTAAAGGAAGAGACAATCAATTGTAATTTCCAGAACTAAGAGAGAAAGAGAGAACCAAGAGTGTAGTTGTGAATCTTATGTACCCGACTACTAATCAATACTAGTGTGCATTGAAGATTAATCATTGCGTTCTTATTCCATATTACATCTTGCATCATTCACTAGATTGGGATTCCGCACCATCATAGTGAAATCGATTGATACATCACAAGATTGGGTTTTACAATTGGTATCAGAGCTAAGGATTAGTATCAATCGAATTGGCAAGATCTTAACCGTTTCTTGGAGTTTTTCTTGGACTTTCTTGGGTTTTTGATTTATTTTTGACGAAATTTTGGCTGTTTGTTCTTGGTGTTCTTCATTATTTTAGAGTTTTGATCAAGTTTGGCTTTGAAAACTTGAAAATTTCATGTGTTTGGCATTTTTTTGAGGTCTTCGGTCACAACCCTCGGAGTTCTCGGCGGCAGACCTTGTCTTCGGTTAGGGCTTCAAGAGTCTTCGGCGGCTAGCTTCGTTCTCGGTTAGGTCAGCTGCGCTCTCGGTCTCTGCCTCGCTATTCTCGGTGGCGGCTGCTGGTTCTCGGTTCGGTAAAGGTTCTCGGCCTCGCGTTCTCGGTTAAGGTTCTCGGCCTCACATTCTCGGTCAAAGTTCTCGGCTTCGGTCTTCTCGGTCTTGGCTTCGCATTCTCGGTCAGGGTTCTCGGTATTCAAGTTCTCGATACATCTTCATTTTCGGTTCGCTTCTTGGTCCACGTTTTCGGTCTGCTCTTCAGCCCCTTGCATTCTCGGTTAGGTCAACTTCGGTTTTCGGTTTCGAGATCTCAATTAGAGTCTTCGGTCTACATAATTGGGATCCCATTTTCGGTCTAGATTCTCGGTTATTGAGATTTCGGTCCCAAAGCCTCGTATTCGGTTTTGAAGCCTTGTTATCGGTTCAGAAATCCTCGTTCTCGGTTTTGAGAAGCCTCGTATTCGGTTAGGTTCTCGGTTTTCATGGTTCTCGGTTAGTATTAATTCAACAATCCTTTGGTGTTTTTTGGTCAGAGAAGCATTTATTTTTGGTAAATAATGAATTCTTACAATAGTACCAAGGAGGTTAATGAAGCTCCATGCTCTAAGTCCTGTGAAGTTAAAATTAAACATTATCGTGATCAACATGTTTTATTAATTAGGGAAATTGAGGACCTTAAATATGAAGGCTATACTCTCAGAAAGGCCTAAAAACCCTTAAAAGAAAAAATGGAGGCCCAAACCAAAGATCTTAAAAGAATTAAGGAAGAATACAACACTAAATGTGAACACTATGATTATGCGCAAGAAAAGATTGCCAGTCTAACTGCAGAATTTAACACATTAAAAATTAAGTTTGAAAATGCAGACTTTAATTTTAAAAAAATTTGATGTGTCAAGTAAGAAAATTGAGACAATGATAGAGAAACAGTTAAAGTGGAAAGACAAACAGGGTGAGAGTCTGGGATATCATAGTGTTCCACCTCCATTCAATGATAACTATACTCCACCTCTTGAAACCAAAGTGGTAGATACACCTGCTCAATATGGCCAGCCCCCTGTATCAATTTCACTTGATGTTGAACAATCTGGCCTTACTAAAAGTGTTGAGGTGAAAGTTACTAATGCTTCTACTTCATGTGCACAGAAAGTAACAATGCAAGATGGGAGTGAGCAGGACAAAATTAATTCTAGTTCTGCCGAAAAAGTTTCAAAAGCATGTGATGATGATACTCCCACTGTTATAAACTCCAAGCCACAAAAATCTGTCAAGTAGTCTGATAAATGTTCATGTGTTTGTGCTTGTGGAAGTTCTTCGAAACGAACCTAAGTTGGACATGGACCAAGTCGCAATCTTATTTATATGAAAAAACAGACTTGTTTTAACTTTGGGATTCCTAGGCACATTGCTAGAAATGGCCCACATCGTTCGTATGTTCCCTATTACAAACAAGGTTGGGAGAACGCATCTAGGGGGAGACCTTCAAAAAGAAAGCCTTCAAGGTCATGTTCACGCAATGCTGACTGGAATGCTAAAAAGGGCAAGAATCAAACTCCCAAGGACAAGAAGGGAATGTCGGAAAAAGATGCCAAATTCAAGAGATGGTTCAGTTAAACAGAGATCGGTTAGGTCGAAGTCATCTCGGCGATCAGTTTCAAGTTCTAAAACGAGTGCTGAGACATTCATCCAATCAAACAAGAAATGGGTTAAACCGGACTACAGATGGGTACCAAAAGTTCACACTCCTAAATCATCTAATAATTCTAACATTTCTTCATCTTCTGTGTCTGATAAACATGATATGTCATGGGAAAGAGTATCTTGTGTAGATAGTAATGGTAGACCTAGCTTCAAAATGGACTGGGTTCCAAAGACAAACTAATCCCACACTCTATGCTTGAGCAGCTATGGAGGAATATCATCAGACTTCGGTAAGTTGATAGTGGCTGTTCCAGACACATTATAAGAGATATCTCTCAACTGCACAACATCCATGAGGTTTAAGTTAGGGTATGTGTCCTTTGCGGGAAGGAAGAATGAAAGGATCACAATTGGGGATCATATTTAACGACGTGTTGAATCTTGAATTTATTAACTTTGTTCCAGAATTGAAACACAGTTGAGGCTGAATACGCTGTTGCATCTGCTTGCTGTTCTCAGGTCATCTGGATGCAACTTCAATTGCAGAATTACGGTTTAAATTTTCTCGATACTCTTGAGTTTTTCTTAAAATAATTCGTTTCAAATACTAACTTTTTTTTGTATTTAAATTTGCGCATTTATTTTATTTCATTTCTTCCCCATGCACAAATTTAGGGGGGGGGATCAAAATTACAAAAAATTATAAAATAAATAATTCATAAAAATTATAAAATCAAAAATTACAAAAATATGTCTTCTTTCGTAAGTGTTCTTGGGAAGTGATATGAAGTTTAGTGTTAAAGGGCAATCTGAAATA